CCCCCCCCCCCCCCCCCAACCCCCCATATTAAAATACTACCACTCCAGCTCTACTGGGTAGTTAGCAGTCAAGCAAGCAGTGCAGTGTCCAGTGCCTTTGGTTTTCTTGGGAATTCCTTCCTGGACGGCAGTGACCAAACCATCCACAGAGAGATACCCCACACTGTCTGCTCCTGAAATATAAGGAACACAATGTGTGTTACATCTGACCATCTCAACTACCACAATGTCTTCTAATTGTATGTCACAGTACACATACTAATTGGCTCAGCAAGCACAATGAAGGCTGGAACTTCGTACTATCATTTAAATCAATGCAGATGTCTATATGAATTGGGTTGGGGGGCTAAAATGCTTCGTTCTGGAATTCTTCAACTGAATTCCCAAAATGTGGTATAATCATATTAGATTCAAAGATTAATGTAGATGTACACTACTGTATGATGCAAAATAAGAAAGATTCATCAGAAACAATCCTTTATACCAATTTAAAATTTAATATTAGACTACTTCCAAGATTCAACTTCAAAAGAAAATCTCAAAAAACAATCAATGCTAAACCTTTATATCACTGCAAAAATTTAATTGTGGGGGGGAATTTTAACATTTTTCACTTATTTACTAACTTGAAGGTATATCATATCCAAAAGCATTTGCAGAGTTACAATCCATAAATCAATTCACAGTTCTGGGCTTCTAGTTATTTGAGTCACTCTCAGAGTGGTGAAACAAAATGGTAAAATATTCTTGCAAGTGCAAAAATCAAAAACTAAAATCTCTAAAATGGGTTTATAGATGGTAATTCTTAGTATTGCGTAGGGTAAGGTATAAATGAAAATTACTGAATTTTCATGAAAAAATTCAATTTTTTGCTCTCTCTATATAGAGGTCTAATACGTACGAAATAATATGAAAGCCAAACCAAAGGCACTTTTTCTAAACTCACCCAAGTAAACTGACAACTTGTCAAGGGATAGCTTGTTGGCTATGAGCTCTTCTTTTGTTGGAATGTTTATCCCCATGTAACATGGATACTTAATTGGTGGAGAAGCCACACGAACATGAACCTGGAAAAAAGAATGCAAAAAAAGTTACCAAATACTTCTACACCATTATGTAAAACTTTAAGCAAAAAAATCTCATTGCATTTAACTGATAAAGAATGCACATAAGGCCCCATTCAGAAAAGGGGACTGACTAGTCTGAGGGTCAAATATGGCCGACCCACTTGAATACTTCCCATTAGGACATCTATTCAGTGTCTATTAGCGGATTAGATGGCAAGCTTACTCGTCATACTTGACCCACGGACAAGCTAGTCCCCATTCTGAATGGGGCCTTACACAGAATTCATCCTTTGTACTTTACCTCTTTGGCTCCGGATTGCTTTAAAAGCCCCACAATAGGTGCCATGGTGTTCCCACGAACTATGGAATCATCTATTAGGACCACACGTTTGCCGCGAAAGTTTTCGGTGAGTGGTCCGAACTTCTTAGCAACTCCAATCTGTCGCAGCCTCAAACTGGGCTGGATAAATGTGCGGCCAACATATCTGTTCTTACATAAGACTTCTACATATGGTATTCCTGCCTGAAAGAAATGTGATAGTCAGCAAATTAAAAATAATTAACACATTGCTTAGGCAATACAAGCAAAACAGAAGTTTAAAAAGCTTGAAAATATCTAAAATCCCATTAAAGTTGAAAAGAATTATCAATTTGGAAAACATTTCAACACCTTCTGAATGATGCACAGTGAAGTAAGTTGCTAAGGCTTGGCACAGTAACGTAATGCACTTTATTTCTAAACCAAAAATTACTGTAAAATGTTTATGTATGTATACTGAATGTTATGGTGTTTATTTCATTAGAAAAGAAAAAAACTTTCACAAATTAATGAACCAGCTTAGTCAGCACTACATGCAGGGTAACTGATTACAATAAAACTTCTTTAAACATCATCTTGTTGATGGCACTAGTTTTTCTCACCTGTTTGGAGAACCCCAGTGCCGCAGGTGTGGCAGACTCAGGGACTGTACTAACTAAATCTGCCTTCACTGGTAATTCTTTGGCCAACATCTCTCCACAGCGAAATCTGGCATTGTAAACCATTTGACCTGAAATAGATAATTTATGAACAATTAAAAAGGGTGTAAGTTTTAATAATAATAATAATAATAATAATATGAGT